ATGTTGGTATTATATGAAGTATACCTATGGCTCTTTGACAAATATTTGCTCCAGCATCAACCAAGTCTTGGATTAAATCGTTGTTGTTATAAGCAATAGACAAATGTAATGCACTGGCACCTATGAATAGTTAGGTATAAAAATTAAAAAACGAATGAAAATATAAGCTGCTTAAAAAATAATTATATCGAGATCTGTATGAAACTCTCGTGCAACCATAACTGCGCCGTACCTATCAATTTATACGAGTTAATCTATTAAGTCCTTAATAGAATTTACCAAAACTGTCGGAAAAAAAAGAAAGACGAATACGCGCAGGATGAAACAATTTACAATTCATGTTTCAATATCGTTTACTGCACAACTTACCGAGATATTCTTCGCCTTCAACAACATCTTGACTTAACATCGGGTAATGTTTTAGAAGTAGTCGGGAGAGACGAGTGTGTATAACGGTATCGCATATGATTAATACGTGCAACAGACTTTCGCCTAATGATCCTCTGTATTGCATTTGCCAGCATGCTACATGGTCCAACCATCTTGTCAATGGATCGTGAGGACCCGGCTTTTCTTCGACATTAACGGCAACCTAAATATAAAAATAACAAATGTTAGCACAGTTGCATAGTGTTTAAACACTACCTAAGTATTAAGATAGTCGATTAATAACACGTCACAGCCGCACAACTCCAAATTAGAGAACCAAAACCAAAATAGAGCAAAGATATAAAACACCTAATGAAACACAAAATAGCTACAACACAATATAATTTTGAATATTCAAAACCGCTAAAATTGCTTGCTACATAGGTAATACTGATCCTAGTTAAAAATTCTAAACGATAAAATAAATTTTAAAATATATCGAAAAATGTTTTAAAAATGTTTTAAAACTATATTGAGATATAAACCATAAAGTTTATTTTAATTGTGTACCTATTCGTTTTCCTAGTCGGTACGGATCTTAAGGAAACAATATCCAGGTGCCTTCTAACGTTCCAACAGCATATTATTTGCTTTTTTTTTTGCATAAATGCTGGACCCGTCCGCACGCATATAATTATATTAGTCTAATATTATGATAATGGTTATATAGTAAATTATATAAATACTATAATAGCTATTAGACATTCTTACGTGTTTACGATTTTGAAATTTCCATCTCAAATAGTCATTTCGATTTATCACTTGACCTTTACCGTTGTTATACATAAGGCCAGATAATTTTTCMACAATAAATCGTTCTGCTTCGTCCTGGCCACCATTATTATACACATTGATCAATTCTCCTCCTTTTTTATAATCCGCTAACCTTAAAATATAATAATGTTTACTTTTGATATTTTAATAGCATGAATTTCAAATATATTTATAATCATAATAATTTGAATTGTTACTTATACAACAAACAATCATCCTCGTTAGACGCTTGAGAAATTACTCTATCCAGAACAGATCCTGAAGCTGTTTTTGAGAATGAAAAATCTGTGCAACTCGCACAAGTATTTCCCATTTTTATTTTATTTTATTAAATATCTTTGTTTAATTATTTTATGAAAATTGTTTTAAATAATTACACGATAATATAAACATCGGTGGTAATACAACAAATCATCGATCAAATATATTTCGTTTCCCAGGTAACTGTATAGCAATGGCTATTAATTCTACCACATATTATAACAAATTAAACAGTCTTAGATTTTTGTTATAAACAATATKTCTTAAAATTTTTAAAAAACTAATTATTTTAAATATATACTAGTCCAGCCAAGCAAAGAGTCATCAGTGGGTGAATTTACGCTTACGTTGTAGTTTTTTTTCAGCTTTCGATCACATATACTTATTATGCTAAGTAGTAAAGATTGTATATTTATTGTTTATATACAAAAAAAAAAAAAATAATAAATGTATACTAAATAAACATCAAACGCACCAGATTTTATACAAGTATGCTATAGCGTATAGATGGTAAATATATTTGTTATACGATACATAAAATATTATGACTATTCAGCGCCGGCGGGAGGTTTTGCAGTGCGCTGGTAGATTTTATTCATTGGCCCAAAAATTTTTTTTTCGTATGCACAAGAAATTTTCTTGGCACATAATATAGTATTTGTTCGTTTAAATTTGTTTCTATTTTATATAACTATTACCCGAAAATATTTAATGGAATTTATGTTCATAACCTATTACATTTTTTTCAGTGAATTATTTTGGACGTCGTCGTCACGCATCGGCATTACAATTAATTTTTACTCTCGCTCGTTCATTATAATATTATATTCCGATTATTAGCTGATCTGATCGATTTATGTAATTCATTTTTGACAGTTAGGTGTGTGTAAATAAAAATACTTGAAAAATCACAAGCTTCACATTAAAATTATTCCTTTTGCGTAATTATGCAGTGACGTTCAATTCCCTTAAAATGATGAACTGAGATGTACTATAAATACATTTATATCAATATAAAACATTTCAAAAATTTGAAGTATAATATACATATTTTATAAGCTTATAACTTGATAAGCAGAGAATTATACAATCAAAAATATTAAACCATCATTTGTGTGATAATTCATGCTCCAAAATTTAGTTAGTGAAACGAAACTATTTTTATAAATTCCAACACAATTTTTTTATTCTATCGCTTGTGCCCTATCAGTTCCCACCCACGCGTCAGCAGATACTATATACTTTATATCTTTAAAAATACAATAATAATATACGTACAAAATTAAAATTTATAAATAGGTATTTAGCTAGTCTTAACAATATAGTAATCATATTTATTTTTATGATAAATTTATAAACCATAACTTATAATATAAGAGATTTACCTGAAACATTTTGTTTGATATTTATTTTATTGCATTTTTKTTTTTATTCTTGAAGGAAACCATATAAGTTACTTCTTATACAGTCATATGTATTACAGGCATTTTTGGAAAAGAAGTTCTTTGTACCTATTTTTAATTTTTTTTTCTATCTAGAATTTTTTTAGAATCGACAGAAAATCCGAAAATCTATTTCTATCATGGCTAMATAAATAATTTAGCCATGATTTCTATCAAATAAGATGAGTGGCCGTTAAATCACGTATAAWAGCTGCTGAATAAAAAAATAATATAATAATACAAATAATGACAATTACCAAAGACCTAAGTAGTAGGTACATACAGCTGTAAGTATTTTGCTTTTTTGAGAATATATTACTGGTCGGTTCAAAGACTGATTTTCAAAATTTTAATGAAGTTGGTTAATTAAAAAACTTGTACTGACGTTCTTAATTTGAGAAATTTAYTATAACCATTCAAAATACCCATGCATTTAATCTTAAGTTGACGATTTCTGTAGGAATGAGTGTGGACAATAATATGTTACCAACTCATTTTTAAATTTTAATTTACAYGGTGTACTTAAAATTAGGTAGGTACTTACTGGAAATTCAAAACTATGTTATGTGACAGTCGGCAGATGGCGCTGGCGCGCTGCTGCTAATCTGCTAGGTATATGTCGTTCGATGAAGAGTATTTTTTATTTACTACCTTTCCTTATGTCACGTTATTTACGTTATTAAATATTATTATCATTGTTATTTTTTATAGTTTTTCGGCACTATCAGTCTGCCTCATCGATGTACCACTATGGCATCATTGCCACGACCGTTTCTCATCATTTGCGGCGCCGCAGAGTAGTGTTGTGACCACAGACTTCTATACTTTAACTAGATACATAGACCTCATAGTATAATATGGTCTAAGACTAGATAAGAAACTCTGGGCATTAGTGGAAGCCTAGTTCCGCCATTTTCTTGGTTGGAAAATAGTATGGTATATCATATTATAATGTGTTTATGGAAAATATTAATTTATGTAGTATTGTATTTTATTATTTTTAGACTTGCTGTTTGAAACGAAAAAAAGTTATTTCATACAGATCATTTTGTYATAATAACTTTATTTCACCTTTAAAAAAATATATATTTCCATTTGTTCCTTACACATTTTGTGTATGCCAAGTGCCAACCAACAAAATACAAAACGGAGGTCTTCTTCCTTCYTATATAAACTTCACTGATAACAATGTAAATAATATAWGAGTACCAGTACCTTATCTATATAGTTAGTACAGAAATCTGTGAGTTGTGTACTTGTGTGCACGCCCGTGTGTGAGTGAGTGCGTGTGACGAAATTAAAAATATTATTATTCGTTTCATAACAAACTAGTTTGATAATAATATCCGAGGCACTATAGTCTATATTGATAAAATATCGATAGTCCAGTGTACACCACAACTATTCTTTCCTATTTGGCAGTTGTCATTTTTCTGCATAAAGTATGTGGATATTATGCTGTAGAATATAAATTGTAATATCACGATTTACGACCTTGAACTGGTTACTTATTAATTAGTAATTATTATTGATATTTTTATTACCACCACTATCTTCCGTATTACTGTGGTCACACATAATTTACCATGTTGTGACATTTATCGAATTGTGAATCCGAAATCTGAATATTGTTTGTGTACCTTATGAACTACTCTTTTCATCACCAAATACCAGTATAATGAGTTCGACTGATTTCAAAACATCTTATAATTCAAAATATTGATTTCCAAACGTATTCAGGTGGTGAAACCAGAAACTCCTCGAGGTTCTCTCGATCGTTTTAAATTTCAATACGTTGAACAGGTTGAGAAGACTCAMATAAAGACACAATGTCCAGTAAAAATATGAAAAGCAACAGGGTAGAATCTGAACTATCCGGGTGTCGAGAAGAAGGAAATTGGTCAAAGATATTAGAGCTCGTCGAACAATTATCCTCTGGCAAAGGCAAGTACCTATATTCAGATGTAATATATATCTCTCAACAATCTGTTGGACTGCAGTTGTAAACAATATTAATTCTGCGAAAAATATCATAATATAAGGTATAAACAAGGTGATAGGACAGGTTTCAGTGAGAAGGACTTGGTTGTTGTATTGCTTAAAAAATTTATACTTAAATTTCATGTCAAAGAAAGAGTAAGTTCAGCTTTTTTATCTATTAGTCACTAAAGAACTAGGAAATTAATTTCAGGATACTTACAAATATAAATGTGTATTATAGACATTTTTTTGTTAATTCATACTTCGGACAAAATATATAAATTATCATTTTTAATTAATTGGTCAAATGACTATCAAGCAAATCACCACTAACTCTATAAGAAACTTAAACTTTTTTAAGGTACAATAATTAATAGTTTTAACTATCATACTACCTTATAAATACCCAACTATTGTATTTGACCACATATTTTATTTAGATCAGAGAATCTATGCAACTATATTGAGGTATACCTAATCAGTTGTGTATATAGTATTAAACTTTTATAAAAGAGCTTCTCCCGTGAATTTTAATAAATACATTTTTATGTTTGTATAAATTATAATTTTTTAATTTTTAGCAATGCTGTATAATTTGATGGTTGGTGAAGCAAAGCTAGAAATGTTCTTAGAGGAACACCCTCCCATTGAAAACAACATTGCTATAGCTTGTGGTGGTCTTAATGAAGCCAAATCATACTTAACCGAATCAATTAGTGAGCTCTCTACACAAGTAATAAATTAGTAATAATATTAGTATTATGTATACTTTACTAACTTAATTCAAATCATTTCTAGTCAGGTTTGAGTATTGATAGCCATATGTTACTTGCTAAATTGTGTTACGCTTGTGGTCATTATGATGAAGCGATGGAACATTGTACAGAAGCCAAGTTGAACTCTATTATACAAACAGATTTACAAATCCGTAACATAAGGATATTGTCGGAGTCATTTGCAGTAAAAGGTAAGTTTAGCTCATTTAAAATTCTACTTTTCTATTTATAAATTGTAGTGTAAACATATAATTTTCATTAAAGCAATTTTATGATTATATTCGTAGGTTTGTGCCAAGAAAAGTTAAAACCAGCTTCTAGTTCTCGTTTTAAAAAAACAGAATGGATTGAAGGTGTTATTAAAAACTATGAACAAGCAGCTAATTTGGGCATTTTGTATTTGCAAGAATTGGACAACAAAGAAAATCAGCTCATGTTGCCATCGCCACTTGGTRGTAATGCACCATTGATCACAAATAGCAATTCTTCTTCTGCTACAGGTATTTTTTTTATATTTTTGCTTTTATATGCTAAATGGTCTAAATAAATTTCTTTTACAGGATCTCATTCTCCACAGCCTGTAAACATGACACATTCTCTGAGCATTTTAGTTGAGACGGCTATCTTGAGATTACCACTATTGCTAATTGAGAGTTCAAATTATGCTGGTGCCATAACAACATTCAGGTAAATAATGAGTTAGCTTACTTAGATAAAGTATCTAATTATAATCTTATGATTTTTACTTAGGAGTATATTATCAGCCTGTGAAGCCCATGGTAGTCATTCTATTCGACTTATTTTAACATACCAATTTGCTGAATTTCTTTTACGCAAAGTCTCTCCAAAATACTATTCACTGCCTACTCAAAGTAGTAAGTATTCGTATAAACAATAAAATCAAATATAAAACTAATTTTAATTATTTTAGCTCCCTCTAAAAAACAGTCAGCAAATATAAGAAGACCAAAAAAATATAATACTATTAATATGTTCACACCTAGAAGCGAACATGAAGAAGTAATATTATTGCTTATTATAAGGTAATTGCTAAATATTTAATGAATAATTTCGGATTTAAATACCGTTTTGTTTAACAACAGTGAGGCAATGGCTGCAAGAAATGCAGTACTTAGTCAGTCACCAGAGTTTAAAGAAGCAAGAATTAGAGCTTTTAGTTTGGCCACAGCCATTTATGATCTGCTTACTTTTGCATTAGTCCTTTGGGGTCAATATAATATGTTGTATGAGGTTGGTTTGGTTTTTGTTATTTTATATATATTTGATTACATCTGATTTTAATTATAATCTGTACAATTATAAAATTTGATTAGTCTTTTGAACGTGCAATGAAATTTTCTGCTGATGATGCTCATGTTTGGACACAACAAGCCCTATGTCTTGAAGCTGCTGGTCGTCATACTAAAGCTTTGGAAGTATTAAATCAAGTTATATGTATGAAACCCAACGCAATTGTCCCATGTTTATTAGCTGCTCGAATTTGTTATCAACATTTATTTAAGGTTTACTTAAAACTTAAATAATATATTAATAATAATATGGCAAAATATAAATTTTAATTTTAAATTCAGATGGAAGAAGGACTAGGTTGGAGTCAAGAAGCTCTAAAAAGGGAAAAAATACACTCTGAGAATTTACTATCAAGATGTAATCTGTACATTGGCATTGGAGCACAGTGTATGGCATTGACTTCGTTTTTAAAATCAGTTAAAGATAAATATAATGCCCTATGCATTGAATCTCTTACAAAGTATGATTTTTTAAATTTAAGTAAATGATAATTATTATTTTTATTTTTTATTTTGTTTATTATTTTAGAGCACAGCAATTGGATCCCAATGATCATCTGGTTTACTACTATTTAGCATTTTACTATGCATGTTTGGCTAAAGTACCAGAAGCTACAACTAAAGTACGTCAAGCATTAACATTGAATCCTGAGCATATACCATCATTGCAATTAGCTATCTTATTGTTGAGTGCTCAGAAAAAAATAAATGAAGCCAAATCTCTTTTAGAGTCATCTCTGGAAGATTTTCCTGATCACATTGGTTTGTTATTCATCAAAGCCAGAATCGAATTGCATACAGAAGCTTCTGACGTAATTAAATACTTAACTGTTTTCATAAGCTATGCATAATATTTGTTTTATTTTGTTTACATATATTTCAAAAGGTTGCACTTGTGACAGCTAAACATATGCTTTCTATGTGCAAAGCTTCAGCCAGCAATGAAGGTTCTCCTTCCGTAGAACATACTGATACTCGTAGTATTTTTCAGCTTTACACTACTGAACTCTCAGACAAAGATTCAAGTAATTAACACATTCACACAGTTGCTTAAGAGGATGTCATAACCGACATGTGTTGTCTGTCTTACTATTCAAATATATCAAAATGTACGTCCAGCCATACTAGTCATTAAATATTTTTATACAGCTCTTTATTGACATTTATTTAATTTTGCCGCCCTAAAACAATGCATGACTTGCTTGTGTCTCAGCTATGTTACTGCATCTAGCAGTTTTAGTTTTGTGTTACAAGCTTAAATATTTGAGTGAATTGACCTATCATCTCTGTGAAAATGATCTGTGTTTGCTTTGAGATTTTACAATATTTTAATTTTTAAGTGAGTTATAGGTATTTAAAGTATTACTATTTAAAAATACTAATTATTTACTTAAAAATTAAAATACGGTTAAATAAAACTAATGAGAGAACACTGATAATGTTCAATTATCAATTATGGTTACATTCAAGTTGGATTATAGTTCAATTAACTCAAATAACAACCAACAAAATTGGAACTACTTAATCATACCATTATAGTTTGTATATTATGCATTAGTAACACAGACAATACATGCAGGTATGACTACTCTTAATATTTGTATCTGTTATTAAGATAACAAATTGCATATTGCGTAGATTCCTTAGGGCCAGCGCGTATTGAACAAGCCTTATCAGAAGTAGCATCATCTATTAGTTCACTGGTACCCCAACGGCCTGTGACCAATACGGTGTGGCACACTCAGCAGAACGTTTGGTTACTTTTAGCTGAGGTATATTTGTCCCAAGAACAATTTGACTCAGCAAACAATTGTTTATTGGAAGCAGCCAGTATTTTTCCATTATCACACCACATCATGTTTATGGTAAATGTGCTTAATAAATCACTTTTAATTGAGTTGAATAGGTCTGCACTCCTTTGGACAACAGCTTTTATTGTTATGGAATACCTAATCTTATATTATTTGTTTTGAGTCTTAGGCGGAGATCCAGAAAAAGGGGTATTCAAAAAAAAAAGTTGGTCATATCTTTCTGTTTTAGATAATGATATTCATTAAACAAATTTATTGTATTAGGTACCTTGGTTGACCTGGGATGTTCAAGCTCTCTCATATCC